GTGAGAACGTGAGGTTTGTAAAATGGTCTAAAGGACAAGGCTTGGCTGCTCGCTGGTGTAACACAGCCATACTTTTCCCGTAGGACCTGTCTGTGGACTTGTGAATTTGAGAATGTTGTGACTATGGTCAGGTTAGGAGTTATGAGTGAAGTGATGCTTGATTGCTTTTTCCACATCCAGTACAGATTCGTGTTTCTTATGTGAACTACAGAAGGCTGCATGGATCAAGTTTACAGTGAACACAGCTTCATTTTTGTTTTTTTAATGAGATCTTTGTGTTTGCAGGTGAAATTTGACAGTAAATGCTAAGATTTCTTAAGCACTTCAGAAATCGAGCATGTTTTAATTACTTGTTTGACCTTTTTAATAGGTTGACTTTGTGATTAAGGAAGCAACTAATCTAGATAACTTGGCTCAGCTGTATGAAGGTTGGACTGCCTGGGTATGAGTAGGGAGAAAGCAGATCGGTCTGGTTCAGCGAGGTCAGACATCCACCAGAATCAACTCGGCCTCAGGCATCCGTAGCCACACCACAGTCGGTGGTGATGCATACTGGGGCTTAATCTGAGGAAACCTAGGAAATCTCGGTGCACTGGGAAGTGAATCCTGCAGGATAGCTGCACTCAGGGATACGCTAAACACAATGGTCTGCAACCCCCAAGGTCAAGGGTGCAAGTTCACCGCTTGAGCAACACGGTTTGTCTTTCTGCTACGGAAGAACTGCAAACGTGTGTGGGGGTTTGCTGCAGAAAGAAATCGGGATGCTACAAACCGCAGAGTGATTTGGAACTCAATTCCACCTGACCCTGTGAACAATTCAGGAAACACCGAACCCTGTTCAAAGAAAAACAGAAAAAATGGGGCCACGAAGAAATCGCAGCAAGGAAGATTTGATGCATTCAGATTCTTGATACTCTTGTTGCTTGGCAGCAGTGCTGGTTGAGTTGACCAGTTAGTGCGGAAAAAGGCTACGAAACGTAAACTTCAGAAATGGACTGAAAGCAAAGAGCTGTACATCAGAAATACGCTGCATTGGAAGAACTTCTGAGATAGAAGAAAAAGCCTTTGTTTCTTTTCCCTTTCCTCTTTCCTTTCTTTCTTTCCTCTCAGCCTCTCCTCGCATACACCTCTTGGCTTCTTCTTGTAGGCTAGGCGTACTTCCAATATACTTTTTATTTCAATCCTTCTACTTCACAGTTTAGTCAAATGAACAACTTCAGTTTTGTTTGGTTTAAAAAAGAAAAAATTCCAAAAGCACTGAAAATATGGAACATCAATGATTACTTATGAGTTGGATGGTCAAATGCGAAATGTAATTTTGGTTATGTTGAAGTCATTTCTGTGATTCTATTATGTACAGTTTCTCAAAATTGTCACTGTGCATTTAAAAGTAATGAATCCTACAGGCATTTGATTTCATGTGCACTTCCCTCTGCTTGCAGTGTACACTTTTTTGTAGTTCAAATTGTCCCTCCAATCTCATTCTACTGTGATTGCTGTAGTTTCTTTCGTACGACGTAGCTAAACCGATGTAATCTTTACCTTTTTAAAAACCAGGATAGAGTCTCTAGTAGAGTTTTACATTGTTGATGACAGATAAACAATAAAGTGATGTTCTGGTGGAGGTAGAGTGATACGCTTCTTACTTCACTTTCCTAATACTTTTAGTTCACACTTGTAAATTACAGTGCTTCAGTTCACAGGGGTGTAATCCAAGAAATGAAGGACTCCAATTTTTGTTCAACCAGCTCTGTAAAGATTTTGGCAGAGTAATTTTGCTTTGCCGAGTTGATTTTATAGATGGTTGTTCAGTAGCGCATCCATAGCGAATCTTTCACTTGTTTTTAATCAGTTCTGCGCTGAAAGTGTGATTATGATCAGAAAAGTCTCTCTAAAAATGGCATCTTCTCAGATCTGCTTCTCTGCCAGTTGTCTGAAATCCATCTCATTTCCTTTCTAAAGTGGGACACCTCTTGGAAAAGGCAACTTCCTTTTCTTACTGCAAATAAAAGTAATTTGGGTACAGCTGCAGACTCTTACAGGTTCTGATAGTTGAAGCAGAAATGCACACTGGTGTTGTCAACCATTTGCAATGCTACATGTAAAAAGTTTCTCTTTGGTAAACTGCATTCAGCTGCTGAAAAAGGACAGATGTAGGGAGATCCTCTCTGCCATTTTAGTCTATTTTCAGAGTAAAAATACACCTCAAATACAGCATCTTTTTTTTTTTTTTTAATCAGAAGTTCAGTACTGAAGGATTTGAGCCAAGCTCACTAGTGGCAAAAAGGTTCATTCAACTGCATGGATTTGAAGCAGTTTGTCTAAGCGGAAAGCGTGCCTAGCGATTTTCGGATACCATGAATTAACACCAGGCACAAGTCAGAAACTTGCAGAATTTCAGTGTTTGCACTATGCTTGCTGCTTTGCCTCCTCAGTAGGTCTCAGAATTAATTCACTTTCTCCAGCTTTTCGTGGACATGCACTTTGAAGTGTAAGGATTTTCAGAAGACGGCCTTCTCTGCAGTCTGATTGCCTGACTGTAACTGTAGGGAGGCCACAGGCTTCATATTTAACAATACCCGTGCGAATGCATTCCACTGTCATTGCTTCCTGAACCCCCTGCCGTGCTGTGCATTGCAAGAAGGAAGGTGTTTGAATGTTGCAGTGAAGAACGTTCATATGCAGAACAAGACACTTGATGCTGTTGGCCCTTTTTATTTTTTTCTCCAGTTACAAATAACCTTACGAACAATCTGTTTGGAGTACCGTAGTAACAAGAGTGTTCAACGTGCTGTTTTATTTCTTGGAAGCCGGGGGAAAGGGAGGGGTAATGCACTCACCTGTGGCTCATGTATTACACCTCTGCCATCCAGAAATGAAACACTTGTGTGGAGATGGGTTCTTTACTGCGTCATTTAATAAAGTTTTAAAAAGAAACACGCGCACTCATAATTTCCTTGTATGCCAAACTACTCGTGGTGTTGAAAAAAGGGAGGGGGAAGAATAAAATAATATAAACTAAAACAGATCAGCTCCGGTCTGTTACTCTGAAAACAGATTCTGTGCTTCCATGTGCCATGTTAAATGAGGCTGCATTAATTGCAGATGTGTTTTGGAAGATACAGTAAGTTCATTATTTAAATTAGGAAAATGCTTCCTCCCCCTGTTTGTGGTTTGTTTTTTTTTTTAATTTTAAGAAAAAAGTGAGAAAATAATCTTCTAAGTCTTTGTTATGAAGCTGCTGTGGAGGCATTGGTGACACATACATGGGGAGTGAGTGTGGCTCAATGCACACACTCCACCATAACCATAAATCCAGTGCAAAGTACATCTGGCCACGCTGTCTGAGAAAACTTCAGTGCTTCAAAAGTGTCCTATAATGCAAAATAAGTAAAACAATCATTTCCTGTTATTTGCAGCTATTCCCTTTTAGGAATTAAAGATCGTACTAGCAGAAATATTTAAAATGACGCTGTCATTCGTCTTCTGCTTTCAGAAACCAGCATCCAATTGCTACATGAAATCTATATTGTGTCTTTAGTGGAGAAGTTATTCAGGAGTATGGTCGTAACACTTTACTAAAGAATGTTATTGAAAAAGACTTGTTGCACATGAAATTATTGTTGTACTGAAATGCATCACTGAGTAGAGCAATTTTGCCATCCACCAGATCCACCTTTTATCGTTAACATAGGGAAGAAGCCTGGGAGGTATCTATTGTGTTAGTTTGGATAGGTGAGATGTGATGAGTGGGCAAAAGACATAACGTAAAATTGGTGTCTGCTCAAGGCGCACAGAATTGAATTGAATTCAATTGAATTGAATTTTGAGGGGGCCTTGAAGTTAGCTTGGGCATTGGATTTTCCTGCTGCAGTGTGATCTGCATTGAGGTACACAGCAAACAGTCTGTTTTGTGTAGTTCAAGTAATGCATGGTAGGTGGTAAACAGATAAATGGCACTTCTGTGGGCCTGCTGTGAGGGGAGAAAAGCTGCAGAGGGGCCCTGAAGTGAACGTTTGACAGTGGGAATGGAGGTGGTGGCATTCCTGCCTTTTCTCAGTGGTAAGTACTCGTTTACATGGAGAGAACTGCACTAATGGTGAATGTGGGCAGGAGCTGCAGGCACTGCGAGCGCTGCCAGCAGTGGTAAAGGCAACACGTTGTGTTCTATTTGTGCCCACTTCCTCACATGGCTTCCATCAGAACGACTGCTGGCATCGCTTCCTCGGGAAATCTTTTGTCCCAGCCTTGCTGTGTGCAATTACGGGGTTGGAGGGTGGATTCCATTGCTGCTAAGTGCAGAACAGTGCACATAGACATGCTTAGCTTTCAATAACGTGTTAAGTAAATATGAAAGTTGCTTGGAAATGTATGTGTGATTTACATACAAACCTAAACGAGCCTGAAGAGAGCCGCATAGGGCAGCCAATGCTGCGGTACAGCTGTGCTGTGCTCCTGAAGCGCCACCCAGCGAATCCCGCTGCACCGCCGTGTCTGCCCTGCTCCTCTGTGGGCCGGGAAGAAAGGATGCCAAAGCACTGCAGTTTGAGCCCCGAGCGGCAGCCCTTCGCTCTCCTTTTGGAGCAGTTATGTTGTAGAAACTGTGATGGAGCTGGGATGGCTTCTGGAAGCAATTACAGCAGGCTGGGCCGCGCCTCTCCAGCACACACGGCCTCATGCTTGCCTGCCTACTAGTGATCCCAGTATTCAGGTTATGTGGGGTAGACTTTTTCAAATAACAGCACGCCCTCCAGCGCTGACGGTTCTGGGCTGCTCGAGAACCAGCCCGGCCCTCACAACATCCCACCCAACGCCCGCTACTGCCGCAGTCGCATTGCGACGGCGGGGAGGGAGGAGGCGGGGGCACCCCACGCTGATTGGCTGGCTGCCTCCATTCGAATCCCATCAGCCAATCGGCTTCAGCCGGGGCGCGGCGAGAGCTCTGCGATTGACTCGCGTCGCTTTAGAGTCGGCCTATCATAACTTCGAAAAGGGGCTGCGGAAGGTACAAGGGACGGCGGTGGCGGCGGTGGCGGGCGTGGCCGTGCTGCGAAGGCCGAGCAAGATGGCGGAGGGCGACAACAACAGCGTCTACCAGCTGGTCAGTGCGGCCGGGCCGGCGGCTTCTCGGGTCGGTCAGGGTGCCCGGAGGCCCTGCCTGCGGGTGGGCGAGGAGGAGCCGGTAGTCTCGGGGAGCTGGGGCCGCACGCTGCCGGGCCGTCTGGGCGCGGACGATCGGCTCCGTACGCGCCCCTTACTGCGAGCGGCCGGCCGGCTGCACGGCGGGCTGCTGTGCGGGGTTGGCCGCGGGAGCCGCCCACGTCGGACTCCGCTGCTCGCCGGCCTCTGGAGTTCATCGCCGCGTCTGTTCTACGCGATCTGCGGGGCTGGCGTTAAATATGCCGTCTCTGCGTGGCGGCGGCTCTCGGCTGCGCCGTCAGCCGGGGAAGCCGCGTTACGCTGAGCGGGGCGGGACATCCGAGAGGCGGGTGGGAAGAGTTGAGGAGAGGAAGCGCTGAGGTGCTGTTGATCGTCTGGGAGGCGGTGAGAGGAACGCGGAGAGCTGGAAGGAAAGGCCGGGTGCTGCGGAGGAAGTGCTTGGGGCTGCGTTTCAACGGCGCGTGCGATATTCTGGGGGATGGGAGCTGTGCTCAGAACAACGGCGCTTATGGAAGCTCGGTTTGTTCGGGGAGGGAAAAACGAGCGATGGTAGCACAGCGCGGGCGGGATCTGGAGTGAAGGAAGGACGGGTGCTGGCAGAAGCTGCCCTTCAGCTGTCGTCTGTGCCTGTGGAAGCACAGTCCCAGTGGAAAGCAGCTGCGGACACTTGGTTCTGACTGTGGGTAATAATGCTGTTATATTCCTGCGTGCTCCCCATTGCACTTTCTCCTGCTCATAATGATAAATGCAGACAGAAGTAATAAAGCAGAACAGTTGGCTATCAAATATCCTGTGGAGAACCTGCTTTCTCTTTTTTTTTTATGTGCGGACTTGCGTTTATAACATGAAATGTATGTAACGAGCTGGAAGGCATTCAGCAGTCTGTCAGATAGCCTTCCATTTTGCTCGGTGTGGAACTGTAGCTTTTCCAATAATTTCTGATAGAATCCCAGGTAAGCTCTGCTTTGCAATGGCAGCTGCACTCAGCTGTCCTTATTCTAAATCCACTCTGTCTTTGTGCAGCACACGTTCAGGGCTTGGTGACTTTTAACCCGTGACTGTGTGGGAATGTCAGTTCCATCCATGGTTACAAGAGTGCTTTAACCTGAGATCCCTCTGTTTTCCTAGGGCTCACTGTTAAGCTCTGCTAAATGCAGAACACCTGAGGTGAACTGCTTAGGGAGCTGCTGTCAGAGCAGATGGGGCCTCCTCACAAAGGGTGTGTGGGGAGGGATGGAGGAATGACGCAGTAGGAGTGTAAGGGCTGCCTGCTCTGTTTTGAGCAACTCATGGGAAAACTTTTTCTTTGTGTTCCAGTGTGATCAGTTTGGTAACTTCCATGTTACAGTTCTGTGTCTTTTTGTCTGTTTTCCATGTAACAAAAATGGGTGTTGGGCAGCAACTAGAGAACTCTAATGTGTTAAAGTTATCTTTGGAAATACCTATATGTAAAATATCTCTCATGTGCCTGGAAAACTGCAGCTTTGAAGGGCTTGTCCTTTGAAAGACTTGCCGTTCTGCTGAACTGGGGAAGGGAGCACCATAAAGGGAAGACTGGGGCAAAACACCTCAGTAAAGTGTGCAGGGAGATTTGTTTGGTCTGGTGAGATGTGCTACTGCTTCATTAGGTTCTGGACTGTTTTAAAGTACCTCTTCTACAGTGTTATAGCAGTGAAAATTTGTCGTTAATAATTACTCTCATTTATGACTGAGATCCTTGAGACTCTTCTTTTAGCTGCTGTTGTGTGGGAACTGATCTGATCCTCTGGTTAGAAATCATGCCTTCTTCCCTTTTTTTTTTTTTTTTTTTTCAGGCTGCAGAAACAGCTAGCTTGGAAGAGCAATTGCAAGGATGGGGAGAAGTGATCTTGATGACTGATAAAGTTCTTCGCTGGGAGAGAGCCTGGTTTCCTCCGGCGCTGATGAGTGTTGTTTCATTTTCTTTCCTGTAAGTAGCTCTGTGCTCTCCTGGCTGGTAGCAAAGCTATTAAACACATTGGGACTATTAAGACGGCTTTAAGAGGCCTCTTTATTAAGAAGACTCTTCAGGTTCTGTTTCTGAATGTATGTAAACTTTGAAGAGGAGAACCTGGAAGTACTGGGAGCAGGAAGTACAGCACGGCTCAGATCCTGCCAGAGGGGGCAGTGCTTTCTGCAGATGTTTGTCAGGCCTGGTTGCTGTAGGTTTTCACTGGGTTCGACTCTGTGCCCTTCGTTGGTGTGTTCATGTTCTGCCCTCATCCTTTCTATCCTGCTTCTTAATCACATCTGGCCATCTTCTGTGGCTTACTGCTGAAGCTCACACACTGTGATCCAAAAGGAAAGCAAGGTTCCATAGGGCAGGCTTTCCTTACTAGATATTTTTTGTCTTTGGTGTGGTTTTTAGGGACAAGTTTGGTTGGTTTTACACAAATTAGAGAAAGAGGAGAAGGGAGCTGAAGGCTGAGAATAACCTCAGAGTAAGTCAGCAGGGTGGGAGGTTGTTGCCTTTCTCTTTGCTAGAGATGCAGTCAGGAGACTTGGGCTTGCTGAGGCTTCTGTTCATGACTGTGTAACACTGTAATAGTCCACGTGGCTCGTAGTTACCACATAGGTGTAGGTGCAAGCAATGAGTGTTGGACAGCCGTATTTAGCAGTCAGTGTCCATAAACCATCTCAATGTTGTTTTTACAGGATGATCTACTACTTGGATCCATCCGTTCTCTCAGGTGTCTCCTGCTTTGTTATGTTCATCTGTTTGGCTGATTATCTTGTTCCTGCTCTTGCACCCAGAATCTTTGGCTCCAACAAATGGTGAGTGAGGAAGGCCTTACATTAAAATAGCCCGAGTGTAAAGAAATTGATTTCTATCCAAGTGAATATCTGAATTGCAAGTGTTAAATGATTCCTATGTGTCATTGTCATTGTCAATCTCTGTGGTTTATGAATTGTGGACACTTGTAAAATGCCCTGCATTTTTCTTTTTCTGAAATAAAACTACTACAACATAATATTTATTGTTCCTTCACTTCTAACAAAGTAAGATTTTATTTTTGAAGGAGTAGGGGCATGCTTTGTTCTGTTAAGGATTTCATTCTGCAAACTGGTTACTTAACTACTTAACAGTGCTAACAACCAAAGTATGAAAGGAACTGTGTTCTTTGTTTAGAATAGCACTTGTAAATGTGATGTAAGTAGAGTGATGTACAGGAATCTTAAGAGTACGATGTGATCATAAGTGATTGAAATGTATTCAGAGAAGGACAAGGCTTATATAAAAACAGTAAGCTGAAGGAGAACCTTATTATTTTGAACTGAATTTTGAATTAAAAATAAATTGTTGTGTATCTGCTCTGAACTACCTAGTTCTTGTCTATCACTGTGCCAACAGAAGAACCCAAGCAATTGCTCACAGCAGATCAAGATGAAATTCAGTGCTCTTCTGGCTAGAATAGGAGTTGCAGTTTTGGAGCCCGTTTGAGAGATTGTGTACTTCATTTCATAGGCATTGCATTACAATGCTAAGTAGAAAAAAGGTACAAAACTGAGTGTAGCAAGTCGAGATAGGTGCTTTTTTTTCTGCTGGGAAGTAGTATAGGAGAGTTCTTAAGTTTCAGATGAGAACATGAATTCTTATTCCTGCTTCTCTTTATTTAAAGGACTACAGAGCAGCAGCAAAGATTCCATGAGATTTGCAGCAATTTGGTCAAATCTCGTCGCCGAATTGTTGGGTGGTGGAAACGTCTTTTCGCGCTGAAGGAAGAGAAGCCTAAAATGGTATTGAGTTCCAGGGGTTCTCCTCTCTGTCATTGTAAAATATCTCTTTGCTTTGTTCAATCTTAAGCATTTTAGCAGAGAACATGTCTGAATAGAGTATTTCAGGGTGCAAACTGACTGTTCTGCCCGTGACTTAATGTGAGCCACACCTCTTACTGCCTCTTACACTTACCTCTTGCCTGAGTGGCAAGATTCTCAACCTGGAACTTGTGGTGTTGTTCAGTATGAGCATAGCCCTGATACTAAGATAAACTGTGTTTCTTTGGGTCATTTTTTTGCAACAGAGCTTGTAAAAAGCACACTGAGATTTTTGTGTTCAGTTTACTACCTATCTGAAAAAGGTAGACCTTAATGTTTCAGCTTAATTATGTTAATTAATAGTTATACTGGTCAGAAAGCTTCAGGTGCTGCGTGAAGCACAAGCTGTATGGATATGGGGATTGCACAGTGTGAGGGCTATTTACAGCTGCCATACTGTAATAAAAGTAATGGTGCTTAAATAATTGACAATGTACAGATGTAGTCTCTGCAGTCTCAGTTCTAACAAAGCCCGTGCATAGATATTGCATGTGGAAAGGCCAGTGGACTTGAGTCTAGTTTTAGACTTTGAAATGTTGCTCCATACTGAGGGGAAGGATGAGAATTTCCATCAGGTCAGTGGTAACTGTTCCCTTTTCTTTTTTCAGTACTTCATGACCATGCTTTGTTCTCTTGCTGTGGTTGCCTGGATTGGACAGCAAGTTCACAACCTCTTTCTGACATATCTTATTGGTGAGTGTATAGTGTGCAAACCATCCAACTTTGTTAGCTGTCTAAAATGGTATGAGGCTGGTGGAAGTGAGATGTGAGTATTTGTGGGCATGTGTTTGTTTTTAACCTGAGACATTTATTTGTGTGTTCAGACTGTTGGTGGAGCTTAAGGGAGGCAAGGAATTGCCAGGTGACAGAAGACAGAAGTTAAAACGTTAGTAAATAATTTTTTTTTTGTTTATTTCTGCAGTAAGTTTCTTGCTGCTGTTTCCTGGACTGAACCAGCATGGGATCATTACAAAGTATGTTGGAATGGCAAAAAGGGAAATAAACAAACTGCTCAAGCACAAGGAGAAGAAAAATGAGTGAAGACTTAAGTGCTGTTTGCTCTTGTAGAAGGTTTTCTTGGGAACAGTTTTGTGAATTAATGTATAATTAAGATAATAGAAGTTGTATTGCTCACTGGCTTACCTTTTTTATTGGCTCCAATGAATTGAAAATGTCACTCTAGCATCTGCTATGGGTTTGTCTCTCTTGTGGGGTTCTGTATCTGATTTCATATGAAAGATCTTAACCTTTGACATGTGGAGCTTAAATTCTTCACCAATTTAAGAGGCCTCATAACTACCCTATCTCAAAAACTTACTGCAATTGATCACAGCATTTCCATACCTGTTAGCTTCACCAGTTAATGGTTTGTGGTTACAGCAAGTACGAAGGCGTTCTGAAATCTTGCACTTCTGAGCAGCTTCTTACTACTGAGTCTTGTGGAAAGAAGACAAACTGAGTAAGTGATGGTATTTGAGCGTGCCTGCCCTCATGAGGGGCAGGAGGTGGTCCTGTTGTCTCACTGAATGTTTGCTTTCTGTGGCAGCATATGCCAGACTGCCTGCTGAACTGGGATCTGGAGTACATAGATTTCTGGTAGAGTTATTTAGCTGTAGTACAAACTTCAGTTTGTTGCACTGAGACTGTAGAGAGCGAGTTAAGGTGTGTGTGTGACCTTACAGCTGATTGTTCTAAAAACTGCTGTTATGGAGCCATGTAGCACGTTTGGTTTTATGAATGTTGTCTGTGTACAAAATCACTCTGGATACACTCGGTCTGTCCATTGTAAATAAGGCTGAGTGTTGTGCTTTTCTATCTCCTCCCCTCCTTTTTTTTAAAAAACAAACAAACAAACAAGCAACTTTTTCTTTGAAAAGCTAAAACCTGTGTTAATGCATTTTAAAAGTTTACTGTTTTAAGATGAAGTCTCCTCAGTGTATTGTAACTGTTGAATAGGTAAATATAGACTCATGAGAAACTTCTCTCAGTCTCGTTCTTTGTGACTGTTTGGAAAGTGATGGATGTGGATCTGGAGAAATGGAACTGGAAATAGCGTTTGTCGCGCGGCTGTACCCGCACGGCGTGCGTTTGTCATCCCTCGCTGTAAGCAGCAATCTTGGCAGCCTGCCGGGCCGTGGTGCCGCCCGCAGCCGGTTATCGCGGCTCTCGGAGGCTGCGGGCAGCCCGGCGAACCGCGGCGCAGCGTCCGCGTTGCTATAGGAGCGCGCGTGGCGGCGTTCTCACCAATGGGGATGGCCGACCTCGGCGCGCGGCGCCTTCCGGATAGGATGTCGAGTCTCGCGAGATCGTGCCGGGCGGCGCGCGCGCCACTCCGCGTTCATGGCTTTCCCATAATCCCGCGCGGGCGCCCGGCCTCTTCCTTTTCCGCCATCTTGCCGCACCGGTGAGTAGGGTCGCCGCCTGGACCCGGTCGCCATCCGCCGTGCCTCCGCCCCATCCTCGCTCCTCCGCCGCCTCCACACCCCTTGCCGGGTGCACGAGACCGCGGCCGAGCGGTCCGACCCGCTTTGAGCCATCGGCGTCGTCCCCTGCGCTCTGTAGAACCTCCGAAGCGGCGGGTGGGGGGGAGCACCGCCTGCCAGCCCAGAGAGATGGAGGGAGGGGGACTGAGGGCGGCGGCGGGCCCGGGCCCGCTTGTAAGGGTGCGGGGCCGGACGGTGGGGCGGCGGGGAGCTCCCGGCTTAGAGGCGGAAACCGGCGTGTGCGCTACGATCTGGGCCGCTCTGCGATGGCTGCTCCGGGCCCCGCCAGCAGCAGCTCCCGCCTGGCTCCGGCAGCACGCGGAACGGCGGGGTCCGGGCACGGCCTGCCTTGTGCGCGGAGTGCTCGTGGCCTTAGCCCTGCGATGCAGGAGGTGATGCACGGTCTCCCTTTAAGAGTGATGTGTTACTTTCATCCCGTAATGGCATTTTTTATTATCTTTTTGCAGGTAGAGAAGCTAAGCGGTATCTAGATTATTTAATACCATGTGTGACATGCTTTTTTGGATGGGGTTAATATTGAACTTTACAATCTAAACCATTCCCCTGGAAAGGGTGTCATCTTGATGGCATATTGCTTTTTACATGCTGCTTTTTAAAAATCTTTGTGTGTGTGTGTGAATAAAATCCAAGTTGAAGGCCTGATGTGTGTGATTTCCAAAGTTTGACAGTATTTGAATTCTCTTGAACAAAACCTGAGCATGTGTTGTGACTTGCTAAGGCTGAGTGCAACTTGTTACTACTTTTTGGTTCTTAAGCTCTAAAACATGCTTCAGAAGTGCCTCTCTGTGTGGCTGTGATGGATGCATGTGTATAACTGCCTTTCTCCTCCCCACAGGCACCATGGTGCGCATGAACGTTCTGGCCGATGCTCTCAAAAGCATCAACAACGCAGAGAAACGTGGGAAACGCCAGGTTCTCATTAGGCCATGCTCCAAAGTAATCGTCCGGTTTTTAACTGTGATGATGAAGCATGGTGAGTGTGGACCACAGCACTGATATTTCTTTCATTCACAATTTCTGTGTAGTTGACTTTAGTGAAGGAGATCTGTGGGTAAAGTTGGAGCATCTTACTGAATCGGTGTTATGTGTGGGGTCATGTTTTTAGATGAGTGTGCTGTTAATTGCTGAGAGGAGGGCTGAAGCGGAGTATGGTTTTTGATTGTAGTATTCTATGTGCATTCTGAATATTGGAGCTACCCAAAACATTCTGCAGGTCTGAAACAAGTTCTGGAAACAAAAGCCAACCAGAAAAAATCTCATGGCAGTAATTCTTCAGTGTTTAAAATGTGTTCCAGCTTTACAGAATGTAGCTAAATGCAACTGTACTTCAGTATAGTGGAATCATACCAGTGGGTACACTGAAGTTAGTCTTAATTGCTGAAAACTTCTGAAATCCTGTGGGTGATGTTTTCTTCAGGTGGTTTTTAACTTAAGTAAATCAAGATGCTTGCAGTTGTTTTGGATAGCTTGGTTAAGTGAACTGTATTGTAGCTGCGTATCATGTTTTGATTTGTCTGTTTTCTAATCTTTTCTAGGTTACATTGGTGAATTTGAGATAATTGATGATCACAGAGCTGGGAAGATTGTTGTCAATCTCACAGGCAGACTCAACAAGGTAGGATTTGTTTTCCTGAATTCAGTTATCTAGAAAGCTGTGTAAATGAGGCCTTTTTGTCTGCTCTAATTCTGAAATAATTACTTGTGAGAACTTGGGATTTAGTCTGTGTAAGTGAGAATAATCTGCCTGTTATCAGTAGTTATTGTATGTTATGTTTCCTAAATTTGTAATAGTGTGATTGACATAATTGCCATTAAATGTGCAGTACATAAGCTAGATTTTTGGAAGTCACTTTTCAAGTGTATTTCTCATTAGGGGCTTTCTGCCTCCCCAGGGATTTCTTTGTTATCTAGAATAGTTTTGTCCCAAGAGAGTGACTTTGCTTTCCAGTTGATGTTTAATACCTCTAAATAGTGAGGAAATGAGCATTTCTACTGCTGCTGAGGTTGGCTTTGCTTGTGGTTGAGGCAGAGTAAAATGTTGTGATAATCAGTGCTTTTTGGGTTCCTGGGGTGTATGAATCATTGCTGAGTTTGGGCAGTTTTTAAATGCATTTGACTTAAAACATTGAGCTGTCTACTTGTGATGAATTGCTATGCACAGAGTCATAGAATCACCAAGGTTGGAAAAGGCCTCCAAAATCATCCAGTCCAACCATCCACTGTCACCAGTATTTCCCACTAAGCCACATCCTTCAGTACAACATCCAAATGTTTCTTGAACATGGGTGGTCATTGTTTCCAATGAAGCCATTCAAATGAGAGGTGGTTTTCAAGTAAAGAGATGTAGATATTAATTGGCCTAAAGATGTTGGGGGCTATCTCTGTGATGAGCAACTGTTGCAGCTGAGAATTGTTTGAGTGTAGTAGCAGGGAATTCTGACACAACCCAAATTTCTAGTGGTGTATGTCTGTAATAAGAGTAATAGAGGTCATATTTGAGTATGGTGTTTCTTGAGGTCTTTCTGGATGATTTTGTATCAGATGTTGCAGAGTTAACTGGATGTGATGTTTCTCCCAGTGGCTGCAACAAGGAAGGAAGCTACTTGGTTCAGGAAGGTGTCAGTGCAGTCAGGTGTCCTCTGCTGTGCTCTTGGATGTCAGGGTGGTTGGAGCTGGTCAGGTCACTAGAGGTGGTGGTAGTGATTATGGTTGATAAGTAATAGGGTTAACTTGAAAGTGCTGGTAACTTCTGTGCATGTTGATTTCTCTTTGTTTAACATCACAGGTGTTTTTGCTAATTCTTTATAATGATTACTCAAGGACAGTTTACTTCTAACGTCAGGTTTTGGATGATGTAGGATACTCCTTAACCTTTAGTAGTTTATAGCTTGCTTTTGTGCTCTCCCAGCTGTACCAATTAAATTATTAGTGTAGCCTCAACAGCAGTATATCTCTCTCCACTTAGGCAAGGAGGAAGAGACAAGGATAAAGAAATAAAAGCTGAATTACTGTGTGAGAGCCTTGGCTTCTGTGAGAGAAAGCCATTCCATACTATGGAATGTGGCACATTCTGCTTGATACTCTCTAGTCTTTTGCTGCTGAGTACATTTTAATTGCAGTTGAATTTTTTCAGAGAGCTGGAATGACAAATGTACAGATCCAGTTTATACAGTTCTCTGGTTTGTAATGGAATTCTGTTTTATAGTGTGGCGTAATCAGTCCCAGATTTGATGTGCAACTGAAGGATTTGGAAAAATGGCAAAACAACCTGCTGCCTTCACGTCAGTTTGGGTAAGTATGGAGAGGAGTTCAGTCTGTCATACATAAGCTGATTTCTTTTTTTAACTACACTTTCATACTGCCTGAATTAGATTCACCTGATGCCTTTCATCTCTCATTAGTTTGAAGGCAGATAAGAGTAAAAATTCAGCTTCCGTATAAATGCTTTTTAACCAGTTCTGAAGGAGTGCTACTAAGCAAGAACCTTTTTTGTTGTTTCACCGTTTCCTTAGTCTGGAGGATTTTTGTTCATTATTTTACTTTTATGAATGGCCATTAGTAGATGAAGGAGTAGTATGAGATGAATGGGATTGTGTTTAAGTTGATTAAATACGAATTAACGTAAGACTCGGCCTCTTCAGTTCTGAATATCCAAAACATAGAAAATGTTATACGTTTTTCTTTCCCCAAATTCTCTAAATTGAGAATAATAAATTGCAGTGGCTCAGCAAGTCTGCCTGTTGGAGGCAGGATTAACAGTTCCTTGTAATTTCCTTTCTTAAAGCTCCAGTGATAAGCTGTGTAGTCAAGCTGTACCTATCTACCTTGCTAGTATGTATTGTCATACTGAGATTTTTCAAGAGTATTTATAGAGCAGTGGGACAAGAGGTTTTCAGACACAAAGCTGTGTGAACTATGCTGATAATCCAAATGCTGGCATAAGAAGTCACTAAAGCTGCTTCAGTTGTCAGTCCAGGTTCAGGTACTCGTCTGGAAGCATGAGCAGTGTTCCAAGCACTGAGTGACAAAGCCTTCAGAGCTGGCACCATAGCAACTCTGATCTGCTCTGAGGAAAGATCCCTACTTGAAATAGAAGCAGTCTTGGTCTATAGACTGTAGACTTCCTACCACTACAACAGCAGAACTGACTTTACATTAGCAATGTATGATGAAACTGGGGGGAGAACTGAGGGGAAAGCCTGTGAATGTACTTTGTGTGCTTCACAACTGGGAGGAGTTTCTTTTTCATTCTCTGATAGCATGCTGTCTGTGTTATGTCCTTTCTGAAAGAAACATCTTTCTGTTGTAGTACAAAAATTAAGTGCCATCAGCCCTGCATGAACACGGAAGAAAACTGACAATGAACTGAACATGTGTTCTTCCTCAATAGGTACATAGTACTGACAACCTCAGCTGGCATCATGGACCATGAGGAGGCTAGGCGAAAACACACAGGAGGCAAAATCCTGGGATTCTTT